TTTTCTCACCAAAATTCTGGAGAAGTTAGTGGCTGGGCAGATGACTACTTTCTTGAAAAATAATAATATTCTTGATAAGTTTCAATCTGGTTTCCGCAAGATGCACTCCACTGAAACTGCCTTATTAAAAGTCTCCAATGACACATTGATGGCTGCAGACTCTGGTCAGAGCAGTGTTTTGATTTTATTGGATCTGTCATCAGCTTTTGACACAGTCGACCACAAAATAATGATACATCGACTGCAACATGAGATGGGATTTTCTGGAACTGTTCTTAAGTGGTTTTCTTCTTATCTGAGCAACAGAACCTTTTCAATGTTTGTTAATAACATACAGTCTAAGACCACTCCGTTACTGTATGGTGTTCCTCAGGGTTCAGTGTTGGGTCCTATTCTGTTCCTTCTATACATCACCCCCCTGGGAAAGATTATCAGTAGCTTCAGAAATGTGTCTTACCATCTCTATGCTGATGATATTCAACTGTACTGTTCCTTTTATGACTCAGAATTACACAAGTTAGCTGAATTAGTAAACTGTGTTTCACATATTAAGGCGTGGTTAGCTAACAACTGCCTTGAGTTAAATTCTAACAAGACGGAAACCCTGATCATTGCCCCTGAACAGAAAGTTCCTTGGATCAAACAACACCTCGGTTCTCTGGGATCTTCTTCTCAGCCGAACCTCAGAAACCTCGGTGTTCTGTTCGACCAGTCCATGTCTTTGGACAAACATTCAAAGCTTCTGGTAAAAAACTGCTTTTATCATCTGAGAAACATTTCTAAACTGAGGGCAATGTTATCCAGATCTGACCTGGAGATGATTATTCATGCTTTTATTTCTTCTCGTTTAGATTATTGTAATTCCCTTTTTACTTGTTTTAACAAAACTGCCGTCGCTCGTCTCCAGTTGGTCCAGAACTCTGCTGCGAGGCTTTTAACAGAAGGGCTCACATTACACCAGTTTTATCTTCTCTTCATTGGCTGCCTGTTGAATTTAGAATTAATTTTAAAATCTTAGTTTTGACTTTTAGAGCTTTAAATGGACAGGCCCCCCAGTACATCACTGAAATGTTGATTCCTTATTCTCCAGCCCACACCCTTCGGTCTTCAGCGCTGAACCTTCTTAAGGTTCCTAAGACCCGGTTTAAAACTCGGGGTGACCTGTCCTTTCAGGCCGTAGCCCCCCGCCTGTGGAATGCCCTGCCCCTGTCTCTCCGTGTGAACGACTCTGCTGATTCTTTTAAAACGCAGCTTAAGACATTTTTATTTCGACAAGCTTTTAGTTAAATGTTTTACTGTTTTTACTGTTTTTATTAATGAGTTGTTATTATTTTTATTTTATTTTAAGCCTTTATTTCTTTATTGTTGTACAGCACTTTGTGATTGTATCTATGATAAGTGCTATATAAATAAAGTTTACTTACTTACTTACTTAGATTTCAGGAGAAACTGGAACAGGTCCAACTCTATTTCCATAATGGGAGAAGAAGTGGAGGTGGTGGAGAAGTATAAATACCTTGGAGTTCACCTGGACAAATAGACTGGACTGGAAATGCAACAGTGAAGCGTCTACAAGAAGGGACAGAGCAGACTGTACTTCTTGAGGAAGCTGAAGTCCTTCAACGTTTGCAGCAAGATGCTGCATATCTTCTATAAGTCTGTTGTAGAGAGCGCTGTCTCTTCTGCCATCATCTGCTGGGGGAGCAACACCAGAGCAAGTGACTTCAAAAAGATCAACAAGCTCATAAAGAAGGCTGGCTCAGTTCTGGGGACTCCTCTAGAACCTTTGGAGATGATTGTACAAAGAAGGATTCTTCATCAAATGAAGAACATTATAGACAACCCTCAGCACCCTCTTCATCAGACTGTCATACAACAACAGACTGTCATACAACATCAGACTGT